CCCATGATAAGAGGGGAGGAGAGAAGAAGAGGGGGGAAGGGGGGGGAGGAGAGAAGAAGAGGGGGGAGGAGGGGGGGAGGGAAGAAAATCGCAAGATTACTCACGTCGTAATGGTAGATAGGATTGTTACTGACGGAAGCCGCAAAATGATTCACCGAAAGCATACAGGGTAACCCGACCCTCCCTTTCCCAGGCCTCTTCACGAACGACACGACTTGGCTGGGTGGCCCCGCGCGAGGAGCACCAAGTGTCATCCGTGACAACTGAGAGGACAAGACCGACTTGGAGACGACCTGTCGAAGGGGTACAGGTTGAGGACCTGTGATGACCGATGCTGATCCGCCTCCTCCCCTCGCTCCACCTCTCTCAGTCATCGGCGCAGAGGATGATGAGCTTGAGGCTCGAGGAGGACCTGTGACCGCTGCTGATCCCCTTCCTCCCCTCGCTCCACCTCTCTCAGCCATCGGCGCAGACGATGATGAGCTTGAGGCCTGAGGAAGACCTGTGACCGCTGCTGATCCCCTTCCTCCCCTCGCTCCACCTCTCTCAGCCATCGGCGCAGAAGATGATGAGCTTGAGGCTTGAGACGGACGCACTTGTCCCTGGGGAGACGACACTCCCCCCGAAACTGAACCTGCGGCTTGACGCCTCTCTCCTGGGAATGCTGACCCTCCCGCCGAACCTGAAGCCGAACCTGAACCGGGCGGTGATACAACCGCTCGACCTTGGCCATTGCCTTCCCCTTCGGGCTTACCTCCGTTCTTTCTTCGAGGCATTTTCTACCCACTCAATCTGTTGCCCGCAAGGCGCAGCACTCAGTACTAGGGATCCCTCCTTCGCGCTACTGCTGAGCCGCGCAATCTCCTTTTTTCCACCCTACTGCTGAGCTGCGCAATCTCCTTTTCCACCCTGCTGCTGAGCTGCGCAATCTCCTTTCCCCCCTTGTTACTCGCTGAACACCGCAAGTCGCGTACAAGCTCTCCGTCTGAATACCACAACGCATCTCACCCATATATCGCGCACACACACACACACACACACACACACACACAAACACACACACACACACACACACACACACACACACACACACACACACACACACACACACACAGAGGAGGATTGCAAGGTTGGTGTGAGTACCAAGTCGACCACTTTTCTCTCTCAAGGATGGGTATCGCTAACTCTGGGCGATGTGGTGAGTTCTCATCCATCAGTCACATGCATCCTGCGTGGGTAGTCGGGGTCCAACCTCCTGATGAGTCGGTGAAAGTCCGACGAAACAGTCTGTTCGACACAGTCCTGCTTTTTTTGAGTGTGTAGCGAAAATATGACAACACACACACACACAAACAGTCTCGCCTTGTTCTGTGCAGTTGTGTCCAACGAACATGACAGCACACACACACACACACACACACACACACACACACACACACACACACACACACACACACACACACACAGAGGGGACACACACAGAGAGATAAACAATAGAGGTACGTCTGATGTACCTATCTTGATGAATTTTCGGTCATGAACAGCTCTTTTCTCGTTTTTCCTTCTTTTCCCCGTTCCCCTCTCTTGTTTTTTGCTCTCTCTCGAACGATCAGCTCATCAGGACCTTAATCACACCATAACAGTCGCACAGTCGGAAAATTTCTTGACTAGATCTATACACAGGGCTCACAGCCTCCCGATGAGTTGGTGAAAGTGAAAATGCATCTAAGACGATACATTGTCACACGGTGAATCAGAGCGATATATGTCTGAAATTCAATAAGAGAGTTAAAAGAGTTCAATAAGAGAGTTAAAAGAGGACAAGGAAGTAAGAAAGGGAGATGAGCGAAGAAACTTCCTTGGAATGTGGTTTTCATTTGCTTTCTATTCCGATCTGTAGTACCAAAGAAGATGGATATGATGAGATATTGAGACCGACCGCAACCCCAATTGTTACTGCTGCGGGTGCTCCTGCTGCTACTGCTGCTGCTAACTGATGATGATCATCATCATTGATGGCGGACGTCGAAAAATAAGACAAGGAGGCGGATGCTGTTCTGCTGCTGCTGCTGCTGCTGCTGATGATGATGATAATGATGATGATAATGATGATGATGATGATGATGATGATGATGATGATGACAACTATAATTACGATGATGATGATCGGTCAGGGAAAAGACGATGGCAATGAAAGGGAAGAAGACAAGGAGAACACACAATGACGACGAGGAAGCGGAGAGGACACGGGGTAAGGATGAAGAGGTGGTGGTCAGATAGTGATGATTTCTCGAGGATGCAGATGAGGAGACGAGGAGGAGGAAGAGGAGGAGGAGGAGGAGGAGGAGGAGGAAGAGGAGGAGGAAGAAGAGGAGAGGAAGAAGAGGAGGAGGAAGAAGAGGAAAGGAGGAAAAGAAGAAGTTTACACGCTTTCCTTTTTTTTTTTTTTTCCTTCTGCTGATTCCTCTCATTAGTATCGCTGTCTTCGTCCTTTTCTAACTCGTCATCTTTCTCCTAAACAAATTTTCACCCTCGTCGCCCTCATCGCGCTCATCACTTGCTCAAAATTCAAGAGACCGAACGAAATATGCGTGGCCTCGCCAGATACACAGACCCCCCCGTTCCCGTTCCTATCGATCCCACAAATGAGATTCGCTGAAGAAATCGAACTCCGTGGCCTTCGTTTTCCCACCCACAGCCCGACCCTGTCTTCCCTTACAGCGATCGTCCCGTTTCTTCCCCAGCGGTGAACTGTAGGACCACGACTCTCTCTCTCTCTCTCTCTCTCTCTCTCTCTCTCTCTCTCTCTCTCTCTCTCTCTCTCTCTCTCTCTCAACACACACAGAACGACGAAGACACGCACAGACAAACACGAAGAACGGTAGAAGCCATACCACTTACAGCCGCAGCGGTTGACGATGCACCAACTCTATAATTACAGACAGACTTCAAAGATCCGCCACTGCAAGAGGGGAGGGGGAAGGGTCTGTGTGTGTATGTGCGTGTGCGCGTGTGTGACACAGAGAGAGAGAGAGAGAGAGAGAGAGAGAGAGAGAGAGAGAGAGAGAGAGAGAGTTCAAAGATCCGCCACTGCCCGCAACTGCAAGAGGGGAGGGGGAAGGGTCTGTGTGTGTGTGTGTGTGTGTGTGTGTGTGTGTGCG